GTGGGACTGGGGGACTTTTGGCTTTTCCTTATGCTTTCTTCTCTGGTCCTGGGGAGCAGAGGTTAGTAATGGGTGGTTTTGCTTATATATCACATGCTAACATTGTGTTTTCTTGCACAGAAAGGCACTCGAATCACTGAACTGCTAAACAGCTTTGACACTACTAGAGTATTAATGTTTATAAGCTTTACACAACTAGACTGGAAGTAGACAGGGACTAACAGATTGTTTTGTATCCAATTCAGGGAAAGAATCAAGTCGGGATGCGTAACAGATACCTCAGTAAAATAAGCTGCAACAATAAACTGGTCCTTTTTCATTACACGGTGACAAGGATCAGCCGTTCAGACTGTGAAGAGTAACCCTTTCCCTAGCCTGGGTTTGATACTGGCAGTTGGCTCAATGCATGTTTTGCTAAGCTGCAGATCTCCTACTGAGCTGCCAGGCTGTAGGGACAGGGTTATAGAAACCAGCAGCAGAGATGGGGTGGAGAAGCTGGGAGCTGGAGGAAGGTTGCACGAAGGCCCAGGAGCTACCGCTCCCCAGCTCCGACTCATTTCACTCGGAACGTGTTCGATTGTATAGTACTCAGGGGTTTTGATACTGCAGGTAGGACTGTTCCTGGGTGAAGTGTTCCACTTTGTAGTGCGTCTAATTCTCTTTGAACTCCAGACCAGCTAAGGTTTCACAATGAGCAGCCAAAAAAGCCCCCAGCTGGTTAGATGTAGGCAGCAGTGGCCTAGCAGCTGCTAGATGCTCCTGTTTTACGTGTAGCGGGTGCAGATTTGCTATCTGGGTTGTATGCCCAGTTGGAAAAAAAAACCTGCTTGTCCTCTTCCAGCAGATCCCAGCTTGCTCTGGGAAGGCACGAAGATGGCCAGGGCAGGCACCAGCTCGCAAACAGGGCTCTCAAAGGAACCATGTAGGGCAGGGGGAAGAGGTGAGGGGGAGGCTGTGTTACTGCTCAGCTCCCAAAGTGAATGTGAACGTGTTACACCAAGTCTTTTTGGCCGCTGCATACGTGCTCCAAATGGATTCAGATCAGAAGACGTTTTCACCAAACAGCTGCAGCAGCCTTGCTACTAGTTTTCTTACCTATTTAAAAAAATTAAATAAATAGATAAAAAAAAAAAAAAAAGAAATGTGATAGCCTAGGCGGTGGATAAATACCTCAACGTCTCCTTCCAACAAGTGTCTGTATATGTTGTTGTTGGGTTTTTCTATCTTACACGTTATCTGAATGTTTATATTCCAATAAACTTCTACCTCTTCATATGGTGACCCTGCAAGCTTGTTTTGTGGCAGCGCCGTTTCGCTGGCGGGAAGCAAACCATCCGTGCTGGCACCTTCCACGTTTCTGCATCGTCCGAACCCCTTGGACTGAACGGGGCTGCTTTTCCCGTCAGCGTAGGGCAAGGGGCTTTGTGCCGGCTCAGTGCCATCCATCTTTCTGTCGAGTTTATCGAAGGACTTCCAAACACGAGGCCCTGAGGCAGGTGTATGCAGCCAAGGAGCAGTTTTTTGATTTTGCCGGCTCCTCCTTTGGTGCATGCGGGGAAGGGGGTGTGCAAGTACTCACGCACCCCTCTGCAACCAGAGCTGGGACTGGCGCTCGGGCTCCCAGCCCTGACTGCGAACTGCACCATCCCGCGGGGCGACCCCAGCTTCTCCCACAGCGGATGCCAGAAAGGGCGTCACAGAAAGGATCCGCACCTTTATACTTGGATTCGTTTTGCTTCTTAGGTAAAACGACCTCGGTGAGATACCTGAAATTAAGAGTTGGAGGTTTCTGGGCCCCTTCTTCATCCCTGGAAAGTGTTCCCAGAGGCTGAATCGGCCCATGTGAGAGCCGTGTCTTTGCAGGTCTTTATGCTCCTACCTTGTATCTTGGGTGGAGAGCACGTGGGCTGGTAACCCCAGTGGGCATGAGACCTGCGCTTGGTCTCATGGTTTTAGAGTGGCAGTTAGAAAGGAGCTGGGTATCTGCGGTGAGAAATGCTCTGACCTCTAGGTCCAACACTGTGGCAAGTGAAAAGCATCGTCCACGCGCTTCCGTGGACACAAGTCACACCGCAGTTTTCACACATTTTTCTGAAGGACTCTCAGTTGCAGTGGGAACTGCTTCTGCAGTGGTCTGTCCCCACACTTACTTTATTTAGGCCTTGGCAGAGGATTAAGCTGAGTGAGTTATGTGCCAATAGGCTATCGGAGGGCAGAGGGAGATTTGAGCAAGTTCAGTAACTATATATTTGTCAGTGCAGAAACGTGGACGCTCCTTGTTGCGATAGCCTTGAATTCGTCTCTCTCCTTCGCTCAGGCCGGGCATTTACAAGATGCTCTAAACGATCTGTGAATTTTTGAAAAACCAGTTTAAGGCTTTAGCTGAATGCAGAATTTCTTCTGTGGAAGTCACGGGTAGTCGTGCTGGAGTGGGACGCAGCTCGGTACCTGCCGTTTCTCCTGTACGCAGCCTTGGTTAGGATCACCTGCCGGACGGTCGGGAGCATCGGACTGGCGCAGGGAGAATGAAAACCTGAAGGGCAGGAGTTGTTTCTCCAAATCCCTCCTACTTTTTACTCTGTCTCTGAACAAAAGAACATTTAATGCTTCCCAGCAGTTTTGATATTGACACAGCAACCGAAGTTGTTTTTCTAGTCGTCACACCAGCTTGGCAGTTGGAGAGAAACTGGTTTCCAGGCCTTTTTTTGGATCAGCGTTTCCGAGGCCTCGGTTTCTGCCGCGGTTTGTTTTGGCTGGTGGCCCATCTGCATAAGCTTGACGTTGGGATGGGGACAAGGCGCGCACCTGCGAGGTTCCCCACCGCCTTGGTGCTTGTGACCCGTTGACCATGCCTCATCCGCGCCAGCGCCAGCCTGCAGAGCACCAGACCTCTCCTCGTCCGCCTGAGCCGGAGGGCTCTGCGCTGGCCGGCTCCCCGCAAGGGGCCAGGAGGCTCTCGCAGGCCTTCCTCGGGGCGAGGAGCTCCGGCCGCTTCCCCTTCTCGGCTCTCACCGCTAGATGGGTGCCGAGGAGCTGCCTGCTTGCGAACGCGCTGCCCAAAGCGGCACCGAAGGTGACGTGGGAATGGAGGCTTATCAGCGTAGTGAGCCCATCTCTCTCTGCAAGCCAGCGTCCCTGAAGCTCTTACCATGGGACCTGCGGTCCTGGCTGCCACACACTTTCACTTTAGGCAGGGACACGGCCGGTGGCAGCTCAGGTTAACCCATGCAGCTCTGCCTGCCTCTACCTGCCTCACTAGTCCTCTGCCCTGCTTTATAGCTGCAGACATGGAGCAGAGCTGGCGCGAAGGGGTCTCAGGGAGCCGAGCTCGTTCAGTGCCTGCTTGAAGCAGGACGTGAAGGCTCTTGAGCCCTGCGGCAACCTCCGCATCTCTCTGCAGCTTGTTTTGCACAGCGCCCATCGCAAGGGCTCCAAAATGCAACCGCCTCTCATAGCAGCCTGCTGATTTCAGCACCGCAGCATGCGAAAAGAGTCTGCCTGCATTTTACGGCCCCGCTGCCATCCCGAAGCGCCTGGCCCCATGCTCCTGGGGGAGAAGGTAGGTGCGTACAGCCCTCCACAGTGTGGGGGGCCCCGGGTGAGCAGCAGCCAGAGGTGCTGGAGCAGGGCAGCCCGGGGGCTCTGCTTTCAGCCCGCCTGATCCTGTGAGCAGCTGCACATCTTCACACCCTCGCTGCCCTTCCCAGCCGAGCTGAGATGCCCCTGCAGCTCAGCTCGGTTTAGGAGCACAGTTCCCCTGGTCCTGCCAATGCTGCCTTGCATCATCCCTCCTGCCCTTCCCTGGGACCAGGGGACCTTCCCACCTTTCCCCGCGCAGCCAACCCCGTCTATCAGGGGAGCGCGGGCTGCCAGATCCCTCCTCTGCCGCTCGGCTCACCTGGGCTCCAATCCCAGCCTATCTGGGCAGCGCGCAGGTGAAAGCAGAGCCTTCCCCTTCGCGTTTCCTCCCCTGGCCGAGATTGATCCTGCCTGGTTTTCGCAGCTCCAACTTCTCCCGTGCGAGCTCAGCCGGGGCTGCCCGAGGACTCGCCTGCCCTCGCCGCTCACCTTCAAAGCCAGATGACTGAAGCAGGTAAAGCGGGTTCTGCAAAAAGTCAGGGTGGAAATGCCCTTGGTGTGGGCATGTGGTTTGTCCCCCAGCAGCCTAAAAATCGGAGGCAGGAAAGGGCATGTATCGGGGCAGGGCTGGATGAGGGGAGGCAGTGGAGCCAGGCAGGAGGCGGCCGTGCAAGATGCGGAGAGGCACCGAGCTCGGCGTCGCCTGGGTCTGGCTTAGCGGAGAGCTTGCTGTGGGATTCAGCCAGTATTTAGGTTTTTGGGACCGGTCCCAAGGGATGAGGTCACTTGTGCCCCCCGGGTGCGGGAGGACGCAGGCCTTGGCCCACGCGAGGGGTGAGGGGGGACGGCAGCAGGCACCCGAGTGCCCCCACGGCCGGCGGGGACTCAGTAACGGGGTGTCTGGGACAGGCCGGGTGCCCCAAGGGGCTGCATCTCCCGCGGATCAGGGTTTTTCTGAACCTGAAGCCTGTGCTGGGGATGAGCCGTCG